ATAAAGATGACAACATAGCTTTTCTGGTGACAAAATCATGCACTTTCCTCTATATTTTTTCTGCTTCCCAAATCTGCTTTCCTCTGAGAGGAGAAAACTGGGCATAAGGTCAAATAAAGGATCCAAGAGAAAAGTTAGAAAAAGAAAGAAAAGGTAGGAGCTGGAGGAAAAATGATATGACATTCACAATTTTTGCCCACAGGCTAATTCTGCTTAATATGGTATCCAAAGTCCAATGTTTAGTAGGGAGACCAAAGTGCCTTAACCTCTTCTTATGAACTCTTCTCTGCTTTCACTGGTTCACATAGGTAATAAAAATGGAAAAGGGAAGCAGGATGTCTTCTACTTAAAGAGCTACCGTGGATCCTTAGAAGATAGCCAAAAAGAATGTCATAATACAGAAAATAAGCATAAAAATTAGCTTGGAGGAGTTGCACAAATCGTCTACCTGGAATTCCAACCTCAGCACCAGTGACATCCCAGTGGCGTATCTTAACAACAGTAGCAGAAACATCAAAATCAATAAGATAGTGACTAGGCCGGGCATGGTGGCACACGCCTGTAATCCCCCCACTCAGGAGGAGGCTGAGGTAGGAGGATGTGAGTTGGAGGCCAGCCTGGGCTACAAAGTGAGGTCAAGGCCAGCCTGAACTGCTTAGCAAGACCCTGTCTCAAAAAGACAAAAAAAAAAAAAAGGTACTGACTTAGTTACTTTTTCTCATTGCTGACACAAAATACCCAACACACAAAGTTCAACAAAAAGTTTATTTGGCTCATAGCTTATAAAGGTTTCAGTCTGTAGTCTGCTGGCTCCAAGGCAGGGTGGCACGGCAGAGGGGAATCACAGAGAAGAAATAGTCCATAATACAGCAGGCTAGGCAGAAGGCAGCAAGCAAGAGACAAGTGGCAAACAACACACTGGCCCCCTTTCTCTCCCTTATATCTTATCCAGGCTACCCACCCTTAGGACGGGTAGCACTCATACCCAGGTTGGGGCAGTTTTAATCCTAGCATGGCACCATGAATCAATCCCAGCATCACATCCTTGATGCCAATAGCAAATATACTAGATTCAGCCATCTCTGAAAAGCCCCACCTATGATCGCATAAGGCTTTGCGTGGGAGGGGGGGACATCTAGATACAAGTCATGACAAAGGGTATCACATTCTAATGTAAAAGAGAATTTCACTTCATTTACAGTTTTAAAACATAAACGTATTATGTAAAACACTTAAGAGCAGTAATAAGGAACTTAAATAATCTAAAAAATAATAAAGTTACCAGCGCTGCTACCTTCAGTAAGAGATGAAAATTGTAATTGTTAAGTAAAAATAATGTATCCTTAACTACATTAGGTGTAAATTGCTCTCCTAATAGCCTCAAATGGTAGAATATTTGTTGGAAGAAACCTTAGAGATAGCTCCTCAATTTTGGTGACTTTTTTACAGCAACATATCTAGAGTATTTCTATATATAATATATTGTTTTATCTTCAAAACCTTGTAAAGTAGACATGACATGTAGTCCTTAGTTTTAGAGATAAGAACACCAAGGCTTATTATCAAAAGAGTAATAAATGATTATGCCAAAATTCTTGTACTTTTTATTGTATCATGAGGCTTCATGAATTTTCATTTCTGTCTTTTTTTTTTTTTTGAGACAGGGTTTCACTATGCACTTCAGGCTGGCCTTGAACTCACTTTGTAGCCCAGGTGGGCCTCAAACTCACAGCGATCCTCCTGCCTAAACCTCCAGAGTGCTGGGATTACAAGCATGAACCGCCATGCCTGGCTATACTTCATGAATTTTTATTGATCTGTGGGAAGTTATAAGGAATAATATTAACTAAGAAAAAACTTGGCATTTCAATAGTTTCTTTCTCTTTTTTTGAGTTTTGATTTTTCTGGAGATAGGATCTCACTGGTTCAGGCTGGCCTCTAATTCACAGTAATCCACCTGCCTCAGCCTCCCCGAGTGCTAGGATTATAGGTGTGTACCACTATGCCTGGCCCTTAATATTTTCTTATGCAATTCAATAAGGAGGTGGAGAGGGTTCTAAATTAGGGTTTGAGACTCATTTATAGCTGTTAGTGGCTGAGTGACCTTGCACTAACTTCTTATATATCTTCATCTCTGAAGTCACATGCCTGGAACTTTGCCTGTCTCACAGGATTGGTGGGAAGCTCAAATGATATAATAGACAGGAAAATGCTGTATTAACAAAATCTAGAGTAATTATATGATCAAAACAAATTCTGAACTTGATCCATGCTTTAGAAATGTAACAGATAATAAAAACGTTAACTATTTAGGTACAAATCTAGTAAGAAACATCTGTAACTTGCAGAGGAGTATTCAGCATCTATTAATGGTAAAAATCGTAAATTTTGATTTTTTTTTTTCTTTTTTGGGTACCAGAAATTGAACTCATGACTTCAGGCTTGCCATGCAAGCGCTTGTGCCACTGAGCTATATCCCCAGCCCAAAAATAGTAAATTTTTTTTAATAGTAAATTTGAACAGAAGAAAAATATATATTGTCTGGGAAGGCTATAATGAACAGATATTTTACAAATTAATTTATAGATTCACTATACTACCAATTAAATTCTTAATACATAACAGAACTTGGGAATCTATAGTAGACTGTTTTTGTTTTTTTTTTTTTTTTT